ATCCTGGCTGAGGTTGGCAAATTCAGTGAAGCTGTTCATTTGGCCAAGGTTGCAACAATAATACGGCAGGATATGCTCAAATACAAGTCAAAATTCCTACCCATACTTGTGGATAGAAGTATTGAAGAGGCAGTTCCTTCATCACTTCTCCAATTCATATGTATGATTGAACTTGGCCTAGACATTAAATCACAAATTCAGCTTGGAGCATCCAAGTCAGTTCTTGCTATGGCACAGCTGTTGTAGTACAACTGTTTTGGTAAGTACAAAGAAGGAGCATAGTCTCACAGACACTCTAAGGATCGCGAGACCCCATTTGCTGTGTATATTACCTTGATTGTGTTTGCAAAGACAAGGAAGAGAGTGGTTATTGACACGCTCCATGAGCATGGTATTTGCATTTCCTATGATAGAGTTATAGAAATATCTGCCCAATTTGGTGATGCCGTTGTTTCCCAGTATGTAGAAGATGGAGTTGTGTGCTCACTCGTTTTGAGAAAGCATCTTTTTATAACTTCTGCAGTAGACAACATTGATCCTAACCCAACTGCAACTACAGCACAAACATCTTTCTATGATACCAGTATCTCTGTTTTGCAGCACCCAAGATTTGACAATCTTGGTGAGGAACGTGAGCCACTTCATGTAGGAACAATTCTAGTGAAGAAAGTTCCTGAACTTCCGGTCTCTTTCACCAATGTACATGCAAAACAAGCTGTATTGGAAGGCAGTGAAAGGGTTCTCGTAAAAGCAAATGACACAGATATCATTGTAATAGCTATATCTGTGTTCACATCACTAGGAGAAATTGGTCTTGAAGAAATATGGATTTCTTATGGTCAAGGGGCTTATACAAGATAGATTTCAGTTCATGAGTTAGTTGTAGTCATAGGGCCTGAAAAAGCCATGCATTCAGTGGTTGAGATGTTGTGTCAGCCTTCCGTGGTAAAGGTAAAAAGACTGCATAGCAAACATGGAATGTGTTTAAAGAGGTCTCCAGTACCTTCACCAAACTCATTCAGTGTCCTACATCAGTTAGTGAAGAAGACCTCCATGCTTGGAAAGGTTTGTGATGGTGATGTATGGCAGGTCTAATCCAGCTTTATGTGTCAATGGTGTAAGACTGGAAGGGTACGGAATTCGGGGAAATGTTCTAGCGTGGATAGAAGACTTTCTAGATGACCGCAAGCAGTGTTTGTTGATTAATGGCACGAAATTATCATCCGTAACTGTCACAAGCGGGGTACCACAGGGCAGTGTATTGGTCCTGCTGTTGTTTGTTTGTTTCATAAATGACATGCCTGACGTTGTACACTCCTCCATACAAATGTTTGCCGATGACGCTAAGTTATTTCGGGAAATCAAGAACCAAGCGGACTGTGAAGAGCTGCAGAAGGACCTCTGTGGGCTCCAGGAATGGTCGAAGAAATGGCTGCTGAGATTCAATGTCACGAAGTGTAAGAGGATGCACCTGGGGCGTACCAACGGTAAGGAGGCGTATCATATGTCCCAACAGGATGAAGAAACTGCACTATTTGAGACTGAATGTGAGAAGGACCTAGGTGTGTATGTTGACAACGAGCTGAAGTTTTCGGGCCATTGCGAGAAGAAGATAAATCAAGCAAATAAATTATTGGGTCTCATCAGAAGGTCGTTCATAAATCTAGACGGTACGTCCCTCGTGACGATCTTCAAGAGTGAAGTGCTTCCCCATCTGGAGTGCTGTTACCCCGTCTGGTCCCCGAGATATGCTAAGGACTGTCAGTTGGTTGAAAATGTTCAAAGGAGGGCCACCAGACTGGTGCCTGCACTTCGGCATCTCAGCTACCCTGAGAGATTGGAGCGTCTGAACTTGCCTAATTGAGGTGTATAAGCATCTCAAGGGGCACTACTCAGTCGAGTGTCCTTACTTGGAGCTGGCGGACGCTCGCCCCACAAGGGGTTCCAGTTCAAGATTGAAGAAGCCGCAAATCCAGAAAACTGTGAGGGCAAACGTTTTCGGAGTGAGGGTTGTGAACTCTTGGAACAATCTACCAGAAAGTGTTGTGACGGCACCAAGTGTGAGCTCTTTCAAGACAAGATTGACCAATACTGGAGCAGGTTCAGGTACATTCAGGAGCCGGTGCATGCCCAGTACTTGCCACAGTGCGTAACAGAGACGTGACCGATCGCCCAAACGGCTAACGAGCCGATCATTTGGTGAAGAGGATAAAAGAAAAGGAAAAGCAACAGAAACGTGACCAATCGCCCAAGCGGCTAACGAGCCGATCAGTGGTGAAGAGGATAAAAGTAAAAGTAAGAATATTTATTTGCCCGCAAACAGAGATCATAAAAAAGCCATTCCACCAACACGGGCTGCCCTAAAAGAAAATGTAACGATAGAATAATTTGGGCTCAGGCAACAGTAGCCCAACCAGACATTCCAAGTCCCACTAACTGGGGCTGGAAAAAGAAAGGAGATATGTGGTTATTACACTGGACAGACCTTCCACCAATAGGAGCGAGCTGCCAAGAACTGACCAAGTGCTCTTGCAAGAAAAACTGTGGACAGCCATGTAAATGTATCCGCTCTGGTCTCACTTGCACAGTTCTGTGTGGATGCACATGACAGCAGCTATAAATATGAAAGAGCAAGATATAAATATGTTTCTCATTGTTTAACTAAGAATCGCTTACCTATTTTTATGATAGGAGGTAAAATTATGTACGTAAAAGGCAAATCTGAGGGTTCCAAAACAATCATAACCTGTTCCAGCAAGCTTTAAAACATAGGAATAGACACCTTATGTGCACAGATTGCCCAATAATAAGTGATTTTAATTATGTAAAAAAAAAAAAATTCGGTCAGCAAATTTGGCGGCCATCCTGGAAAATGGCCGTCATCTTGGAATTTTGAATGTCCACTTGGATATATTTGATAAGTAACCCACATTGAATGCTCATACCAAATTTCATGCTTCTATGATCATTTGCATGATTGTACCTGTTATCCACTCCGCTATAAGGAGCAAAATTTACATTTCGAAACTCGAACAAAAAAATCCTAAACCCCTTGTTCAATTTGTCATGGCAAGTCAGTCTCTTTAATTGATAAATAAAGAAAAGAGACGAAAAGGGTAATATGTTGTTTGTTACCTCCCAGTCAGAGTCAAAGTCTGCTATGTATTACACCTTATATCCTGCCAAAGTCTGCCATCTATTACACCCTCATATCTCGCCAACGTCTGCCATCAAATTCTGTAATCTTCGTGTCGTAGCATCAGCGAGAGTCATTTATTTGTGTTATCCTATCCCGTGTTTCTAAGCTCAGAAACCGAATCATACAATAATAAGATATGACACCCAATACCCAGTTTTTCTATTCTTAAGACAGTCTTAGAGTCTCGGGTGCTTTGATAGTATAGCTTAAGAAAGCAAATACACCTCTTTCACTTACGTCCTGTAAGATTCACTCCTTTATTAATAGAAACTTTAACTTACAGTGATAGAAACTTTAACCCACATTGATAGAAATTTTAACCCTCAGTGATAGAAACTTTAATCTACAGTGATAGAAACTTTAACCCACAGTGATAGAAACTTTAACCCACAGTGATAGAAGCTTAAACTTACAGTGATAGAAACTTTAACCCATAGTGATAAAACGTTTGTCGACTTACAAATTTCATATTCAAGATACTGAGCTGTTGAATTCTACAAAGAACTCCAAATCTCTTGCACGAACTCACGCCATACCTCACACTGAGGTAGTTACGCAACGGGAGGCAGGTAAGACCCCATAAGCATTTTCACCTTTTACAGGATAAGTGACTATGGTGTTAAGTTAAACTGGTCATTAACATTGTCTTCTTGAGTCGTGTGAAGTTAACTGTGGACCATTTAAAATATATACAAAATTCCCACGGGAGGTATTAAATTCAACCTACGCTGAGCTAATCTGAGCTAAGCTAACCTAACTCGCAGCCACTCGACCGTCATATTAAACCTTGTCTGCTTTGTTAAATCAATTATCGTGTGTGTGTGTGTGTGTGTGTGTGTGTGTGTGTAAATCTATCTATCTATCTATCTATCTATTTATCTATCTATCTATTTTTCTATCTGTCTGTCTGTCTGTCTACCTATTAATTCATTCATTCATAACCATTATTCATCCATCTATTATATTCCTTTATCCATCTATTTATATATTTATTCAGGTGTACTTATTCACCTGCCAACATATATAGTTTCTCTCATCTGGCAGTGTTGTCGGGCTAGGCGTGGCTCGGGTCATGGGGTCTCCCTCTTACCGAGTCCAACTTCACAAAGAGTTCGCACGACAAATGTTTCTCATTATCTGTAGACGTAACGAGAACTCTTGCAACAAAATCGACATTTCGAAACACTCTGGAGACACTTAGAAAGTAAAATAAAATAATGATAATGAATAAATAAGTAAGAAGAAATAAAACACGTAAACAAGTTAGTAAATTAAGGAATTAAACGAAATCGTGAATAAATATAGGTATACAACACTAAACACGAAAGTAGCCATACAGGGTTACGTTATTATCAGTGAAAGAAGTAGGCAGACTATTAAAATATTTTTCTTTTAATTTGTCACAAATTGATTGGGTGGGTGGGTGGGTAGACCATTTTTAACTTTTGGGTTACCTGGAACATGAAATAAATAACAAGGGCAGTCTATGTCCCAAGTCAATCTTTCAGTGGGTCAATGATTGTGTGTTTGTGTCTGCCTGGCAATGTTTGTGTTAGACTGTCAGTGTTTTCTTGTGCTTGTCTGTTAGTTTGTCTTTGTAGATAGTCGTGTGTTTCTGTGCATATCATCATCCCATCTAACACACCATCTGTTTTCTTGTCATATCTGGATAATGAAGAAAGACAGTAGTGATGAACGGAGAGGGAAAGAGATGTAAAGATAGATAGATAGAGAGAGAGAGAGGGAAATGGGGCAAGTAGATGGGGGTGGGCCAGGAGGAAGAAGTCGGCAGAAGGAACCAGGTTTGGTGCCAGGGCTGTGTGTTGGGGTTTAGTCGCCAGTGTGTGTCCGGGTGCTCGCTGCCCCCACACTCTCCTCCTCCACTACCAACACCACCTTACACCGACAGTGAGGTGCTTCCTACCACCAAGGGCCAGTGCTTATAATACCCAAATAGATATTACCGAAAGCACGAAAAAGTAGTGATTCGAGATAGTTTTCACGATAATATAAATCAGTGTTTTCTGCAAGGTAAGATCACATACTTGTCAACATAAGCATGCAATCTCTCTCTCTCTCTCTCTCTCTCTCTCTCTCATTTCTTTCAGAGTTCGAAATTAATGTGTTTAAAAGGTGTGCTAATATATCGTTTAATAAAAGCTTTTTTGTGTTTCCGTACACAAAAGAGAAGACAAAATAGCGATATTATAACGGATCTGATTCGTGTCTCTTGTTGATGGACACTACTGACGTCTATTTAGATTCTCCTCCTCCAGGGTAAGTAGCCGAGATGTGTGCAACTGTCCTAGGAAAACGACAATATCCATACTGTAAAAGAGCCACAGTCGCAGCAGGTAGAAAGCGAGACTAACGTTCGACTGGTGTATTTAATCATTATCATGTGCTTGCATGTAAGGTGGATGAAAAAATCAAGATGGTGATGATCGTTCGTGTTATCGGTGGCTTTTTTATAGCGTGACTCTTTGGTTGTACCTCAACACAAGGAAATGGCCACACCCAAATTAGAAGACACAAAGACCACACCAAAACCTAAGAGACATACACCAGGGCCACATCCCAGCTAGGAAACAGACACCAGGGCCACACCCCAGCTATGAAACAAACACCAGTGCTACACTTCAGTTATGAAACACATGAGAACCACACCTATCTTCCACGTAAGAGGGAATAGGCTAATGATAATACCAACAACCATTTAAGCTTAACGAGTGATGAATCCTAGTGTCAGTGTGGAAAAGAAACAGTAAGAATAAGCAATGAGCTGGAATGAATTTCACAAATACATCAGACGAAGAGAATGGGAGAATAATTATCACACACACGTAACAGATAGTTTTCTAAAAAGTATGACACAAACATTCAATGCTAGACTATGCTAAGGGACTGCTCCAGTGACACTGCCGATGGTCAAGGACATGTGTGTGTGTGTGTGTGTGTGTGTGTGTGTGTGTGTGTGTGTAAAACATATCTCTCTTATTTTTTGTGATGGTTCGAGTTAAGTAGAAACTTTGGCGACTATATAAATCAGAGTATTAGAGTAGAAGAAAGTTATTTGGAAATGTATTTCTGTTTTTACTGATATATTACAAAACATCCATTTCCTCGACTGGAGGAAAACATCAAATAAGTCCAAACAGTATACAACGGAGAAGAAGGAGTTATTTTTACTTCCGGAGGGTGACAGAAAGACCAAAAATGGTTGCCAGCTGCATGTTGTGTTTATCATTGTTTCCTGCTGTTCATTAACTTTTAGATATGGCTCGACTCTTAGCTGTGGTTTAAGAACATGAATATTTGTATATCACTTAAAACTAGTTTTGGTGGTGTACTGTACTCGTAAGGGGTGGTGGTGGCACGAAGTTGACTCACAGGAGCATCGACAAATGTTATTCCCAGCAGACTCGCATCTCGGGCCGGTGGCAGCTTCTAAATTTACCAATGAGGCGGTTCTCACTAGTAGGAGGGGGAGAAGGAGTCCAGATGATAGACTACCACCAGAAACTGGGGCGAGATGGTAGGTGGTGGTGATGGTGAATGGTGATGGTGAGTGGTGGTGATGGTGAGTGGTGATGATGGTGGGTGGAGGTGATGGTGAATGGTGATTGTTAGTGGTGGTTATGGTGAGTGGTGATGATGGAAGGTGGTGATGTTGGTAAGTGGTGGTGGTGATGGGTAGATAGTGGTAATGGTGGGTATTGGTGGTAAGTGGTGGTGGTGATGGTAGGTGGTGATGGTGGTGATGGTGAGTGGTGAGTGGTGAGTGGGAATAGTGGTGGTGGTGGTAGGTGGTGTGATGATGGTGGGTGGTGGGTGGTGATGGCGGTGGTGATGGTGGGTGGTGATGCAGGGTGGTGGTGGGTGGTGGTGATGGTGGGTGATGGTGTCGCTGGTGGTGGTGTGGTAATGATGGGTGGTGATGGTGGTGGTGATGATAGGTCGTGGTTGGTGGTGATGGTGGGTAGTGGTGGTAATGATGAGTGGTGATGGTGGGTGGTGATGGTAGGTGGTGGTGACCCTGGGTGTTGATAATGGTGATAATGTTGGGTGACAGCAGTAGTGGGCGATGTTGGGTGGCAGCCGCAGTGGATGATGTTGGGTGGCAGCAGTAGTGGGTGATAGTGGGTGGCAGCAGTAGTGGATGATGGTGGGTGGCAACCGTAGTGGATGATGGTGGGTGGCAACCGTAGTGGATGATGGTGGGTGGCAGCAGTAGTGGGTGGGTGGCCTTGATGGGTGTCAGTTGTGCACAATTTTTTTTACTTGATCTTCAGAGATTGAGAGAATTAAAACACCAGTCAATAATTCAAGAAATGTTGAGACTTAACACACACAAACACCTCATCATGTCAGGAGAAGAACCCATAGAGTATGTGTTTAAACATATTCAATAACACTTGCTCTCCACCACCGGTAATGAAGCGAACTATGTCCAAACACATTTACATAGGAGGATAAAGATAAAGCAATGTACCCGGTGTCTCTTTATGATCATTAATACCTAGGCCTTACACACGAGTTAGGAGACTAAATTATAATACACATTTCTAAAAATATATATAAACCATGATTGTGTCTCTTGATGAGTGTTAAGTGAACGTACTGTATCAAGCTATGCTATGGTATTCTCGATGGCATTTCAACTTTATATTTATACGTTATTTTGATGTTTTAGCGGAAGTCAACCAGTTTGGCGTATTCTTATATCTTCAGTTACGAGAATGTTCTTTTTTTTTGTGCGAACCTTTGAGAATCGGAACCCTGCAAGGTGCCTCATTGTTGATGATCTTTGTCCACACATACACACACACACACACACACACACACACACACACACACACACACACACATCCCTGAACTTTTAGAAACCTGTTATTTGTACTTTTAGCAATAAAATACTCAAACAACTTAGTTAAGTATGACAAGCAAAGAATGTTTGCTAATGTTTTCACAGTGAAAAACAAAAGTCGTTCGGGATGGAGAGTGACAGACAAGAGAAGGAAAATCTTATCAGGATAATTCAATGAGAAAGTCAATAAATTTGGTAGATAAACCCTAAGTCAGAGCAGACAGCCAGTCAGTATCTGTCATACCTCCGGCGTGACCTACTGTACATCCACTTCCTCGTCAACACTAAACGTAACCTTTACTTCCCATCTTTAATTTTCAAATACTTCCGTTTATATTATACAAGTAAGTTCTTCCCAGTTTTGTAATAATGACTGGCAGGTGAAAACTGAAATGTGAAAGTATTTTCAGAGGCCTGGCGACCCGTTACGGGCAGACCGGACACAGCATACTGAATACTAAGCCAACATTGCACTCGACCGTCTTCCTTTCGAAATTGCTAATATAGGAGTAGGTGAGTCGACTAGAAATCCTTACAAGAGGTTAACGCGATATCCACTCAACCGCCGCAACCCAAGTGCAAATTATAAATGTAGTAGTGAGTAGCAAGTGGAAATATCAAGGAAGCGGGAATGATATTACACATATACATCAAGACACTACGAGAGCCAGGGGTAGGAAGCGTCCCAGGAATCGACGTCAGCTCATCACCAAGCTAACTTGTTCCTCACCACTACAATAGTCCGCTCTGCTGTTGTGTGTTCTGGCGTTATAACTTCGTAGTTGATGATTGATGATTAGTTATTCTGTAACGTGGACCACTGTTCACCTTTTAGCACAGGAGCAACCTCGTAACGATATAGCTTATTAGCATACCTTTGGTGTAAATCAAATTTTCGCATTTTCCCGCTGCTCTCTCCTTAGTAAGTGGTAAACTTGTCTCTATCTAGTGTTCAAGAAAAAAATTTCTTTAACAATCAGAAATTAACAAAACTGAGATGAGGTGATCGGAATATCAGATCATAGTCGTGGTAAAGAGGGAACTGTGGAACGCGGTACCTTATCTTGCCAGGGTGTATTGAGTCGCTTTGTTTATATCCCTGGCACACGACTGGGTGGCGGAGCTGTATAGTGATTTCCTTATACCATAAAAGCGTTACTGCTGGCACTATCGCTCAGCTTCCATAAACCTGTTATTATCGGGTGCGGAGGAACGCCAAGTGCTGATGTTCTCATGGCTGGCGTTATCATCATAATTAAGTGATCTTGGTCCCGGGTCACAGAGGCACCTCACGCGTTTCAGCCGAAATTCTATTGTTACAACCGGCGGATCAGTGGCGTTATTTTGTTTAAGGATTCTGTCGGTGTTGCTGAAGCTCCATTACTTGACTGCAGCTAGCGAATGCATTTTCGTTGGGTTGTTTTTAATGAAGTAACAATCTCTGATTTTTCATCATCTAGCTGTTTGGGTAGATATAAGCCCCTTGCTACCCTGAACAATTTTAGTAATTTTCTTAACTTAAAAAAATGTTGAATCAGCTTGAATTCATATTGAGTCACTAACCCACAGGGCCTAGGGAGAATAAAAAAAAAGCAAAGGAAACAAATTGCATCATAAAAAATGCAGAAATGGACAAAAATAAAACAGTTGTCAAAGTAAGAGAGACCCTGCAGCTGTGTGTAAATGAGACAGAAAGACAACACATTATGCTTCCAATATCTTTCCAGGCTACAGTAGTACCTCCCTGTTTGATAGCTGTCTACTACCTACTTACTACGGAGTTCTTAATCTAGGCAGAAAAACTAAAGAGGGGAAGTACAAAAATGTTAATCGTCATGATAACACGACTAAAACGTCCCGTACAGTATGAATTACTTTTTGCGAATGCGCCAGCTAGAACATTGTATATAATTATGCGGGACGCGACGAGGCACATAAACATATAAAGAATATGGTGAAGTTAAGAAGTCTTAAAATTTCACTGATATCAAAAGGTGACAACTAAAACCTAATTAAATCCTCTCCAAATATTGATAACAGCTGACGGGATAGTTACCACGAAACCCGGGCAAATATCCACACCACTAGCATTAGATTTTTTGACAATACGCTACAGTATCCCGCATATGCAGAAGGATTACAGGCAGTCTTTTTGACTCGCGCACGTAAGAGACAGTGTCTGCACTGTTTTGTTTTTTCGTAATTCATATCTTGAAATATATTTGTATCGGAAATTTAAATTCTATTTCTCAACAATTTGGTGATAGTGAAATAACTACATGGCTTTACTTAATGGTTTTATGAGGCAATTTTGCACATAGATATTTATGTAGGATTTTCTTATAATTTTGAAATTCCTGTAACTATATTTCTAATTGTACACTCTCAACAAAAACTTCTCGAACACCTGGGCACAATGGATGTGAGAATGAGCAGAACAGGGCTTGTAATGTCGGAATGGTTTCAGATTCTTCATTTATTTTTCAGATTGCACAGTGCTTATAGTGTTCGAGAAGTTTTTGGTGAGAGTGTACATTTAACTGCAACAGTATTGATCTTGGTCTCTGTATTTGTACTGGCACTGTATATCTTACCTGTGCTTGTACCGGTCTCTTTACCTGTACCTGCTTTTCAATCTATAACTGTAGGCCTACTTGTGCTTTTTTCTTCCCTTCACTTGTATCTGCACCTCTACTTGTAAGTGCATTTACGTTTGTACTGTTGTTTCTAAGAGTTGCTAAAATTGAATGAATCGTGACAGGTATATTGATAGGCCCTTACACGTATTGCACTTATTCATCTTCAGTCATTGAACTCTGTTGCAGTAACTGGAGCTCATTCAGTGATCAATACACCCTGAGATGTCAACTGCCTATTTTAATGGGTCACTTCAGGAGAGTTGAAAATTACACGACATTGATTTTGGAGTATATGTGTGCATACAGGAGACGCGAGCAGTATCTTATGGGGTGCCCACACGCAAGGTACACTAACTAAAAGATTATTCTGCACCTTTACGGGGGTTATACAATATGACACACCTGACCAAGAAATCTGATAACACTCATCACAGCTTCTGTCGCAGTAATCGTTTCGGATGTTTCAGAACCAAGGGAACAAATATTTTTTTAGTGAGTGTACAATACGTAGGGGAGGTAGTAATTGAGTAATTGGGAAAAAATCTGAAGTTTTGTTAAAGGTTTCTTATGGTATGAAACGCTGTATTGGCATGAAGGATAATGCAGGTTTTTTTTATTTTATTGCGACTGGAGGCACTGCCACTGAATAAAAAATAATTAATCACTGATTGGCTAAGCTATAGACATAGTACATCACTTGGCTTGGCCCAGTTGGTCATCTTGTCAACTGTAAACGCGCGAGTCTTAAAGTGATCAAGATCATATATTTTTATTATGCCTTTTGATTTTTGTCTGATATTTTTTTTACAGTCCTAATTCCTGAATTTTACGCTCTTAAGTATTTTATACTTTATTTACAATGCAATCTTGACTTTCCATTGTCAGAAAAATCCTCACATATTTGATAGTTTTCATAACATATACTTACACAGAAAATGTATTATACATAGGTAAATCCATGTAAACAACAACTACCTATGAGTGCCGGATCACCACGAATAGCAGGCAGTAAGCTAATCCACTGAACCATTATGAACCTCGGTACCTTTACAACACCGTTGTACTGGAAGCAGTCAAGATGTTCATAGTTACAACAGGATTCTAGGATTGTTGTCGTGATCTAATGTCTAGGTCTAGGAGGTACACTCCTCTTGTCCCTATCACTGACAAACCATGAGTCCATTGTTCTTTTAGGAGAAAAGTTTAAATTTGAACTCATTTGGATCAATATTTATGAAGGTATACAATGTCTCTTAGATATCAGTGTTCGAGGCACTGTACACACCCGTGCCTTGAGTTGTTAACTGTATAAATGATGTTGTTGTGTCTCGACAGATGCCAGGAGAGAGCCACTCGGACGTTCCGGCTGCGGTGCCGCTACAGATTGCTATACAGTCCTCAGCTTTATGTTTGACCAACGGCCATTCCCCTGATAACGCAGAACAACCCAAGTCCATAAACTGTGGAGAATGTAAGAAGCCGGCGACGATCGTGTGTGGCGGTTGTTGGCAGGTGGGCTTTTGTGCCAGGGATCACCAGCTAACTGGCTGGGTGAAGCACCGTCCCAAGTGCCGCCCATGGCGTGTCGGTTGCTCGCCTGACCTGGGCCGTTTTATGGTGGCCACTAGGGACATCGTCCCCGGGATCCTGCTACAAGACCAACCACTCCTGCTGGGCCCCAAGATGATCACTGAACCCGTGTGTCTCGGTTGTTACCGCCCAGTCAACGGTGATTACCAGTGTCGTAGCTGTGGCTTCCCTCTGTGTAGCTCCGAGTGAGGGGACAGACGACCACGAGGCCGAGTGTAAGGCTGTGAGAGACTCGGGCATCCCCGTCAAGGTGTCAGTCTTCGGCGAGATAAACAGTATGTATGAATGTATCACACCCGTGAGGATCCTGTGCCTACGAGATGAATCCCCAAGCGTGTGGAACAAACTCTTGGCGCTGGAGAGCAACAGTGACAAGCGTGACGGCACCGAGGTGGCCGCTATCACACAACAAACAGTCGTTGACATCATTCATGACAGACTGCAACTCGACCAGTTCGACACAGAAACTGTTGAGAAAGTCCTGGGAATCATCGACACCAATGCTTTTGAGATTCGTCTGCCAGACTCGAGTATCTTAGGAGTGTATGGGGCGGCATCCATGCTGGAGCATGACTGTATCACCAACACCCACAGAACGTTTGATGCAGACCTCAACCTTGTAGTAAGAGCTGCTATTCCTATCAAACGCGGCGAGCATCTCACCTCCTGCTATACAGACCCCCTCACAACCACCTCCAGTAGACAGGAACATTTACGTGCTTCAAAGTATTTCATCTGTAGTTGTAAGCGTTGCATAGACCCAACAGAGCTCAAGACCTGTCTGTTTGCTAAGGGACTGTGTCCAGAAGCGAACCGAAGAAGATAAACAAAAGAAGGCCGCGGCACAGGCCAAACAAACACCAGGTCGGGGAGGGAGGGGAGGCAAGAGGGGCGGAGTACTCAACCGCATCAACCAATTCCAGACAGGCGGTGCTAACGGCCAGTCATCTAGTAAGGAAGGTGATGCGGAGGGTAACGATGAACCTGGTCCCTATATTGTCCCACAGGATCCTATCTCACCCTCCTCGAATTGGAAGTGCATATCCTGTGGGCATCCCTCGTCAGACGACTACCCTGACAGGATCACCTCGGTGGTGGCTGAGGAGGCCGAGGAACTGGAAGCATCGTCCCCTACCGTGGCCCTGTGTGAAGCCTTCCTCGAGAAATGGAACCACCTCTTCCACCCGGACCACGCCATCTTCCTAAACGTGAGTGTTGGCAGCCCCCACCCAGTGTTCTACATTCAGTCGCCATATTAGGACTGTGGTTTACGTTCCCTATTAATTCATCTTTGTCCATTTTACTCCAATCTTATCCAGATTAAATCTAGTCTTTCCCCTTATATACATTGCACCTCCTCATCTCTCTTTCCCCTGAAATAAACTGAACGTCCTCTCGTCTCCCTCATATATTAAGCCCCCTTCCCGCTCCCTCAACAACTGGACTCCCTCCCATGTATTAAAACCTCTCCCCCCTCCGCACATAAACTGCTATTAACCCCATTTTCTCCTCGTAATGATAACTTCCAACTCTCGACCGCTATTAAACAAAAGTTTGCATCCTTCCCCCCCCATGATATTCACAACCCCTCCTTCCTGATACATCAAACCTCTTTCTCCCCTTTCTTTCTTCCTTCCCTCCCTCCCCTTTTTCCCCATGACACTAAACCACTTTCATCCTCCCCCTCCTCATTTTCTCTTCCTCTTCCCTGATACACTAAACCATTTCCTCCATTTCTCTTCCTCCTACTCTTCCCTGATACACTAAACCACTGTCTCCCCCTTCCCCATAAACAGTAAACATCCTCCTCCAGATAAAGCACGCCGTTGCTTCACCTATACGGGTCAGAGGAAGGGTACGAACTGGATGACCTACCCCATCCACCTGGCCCGGAAGGAGGAGCTGTGTCGCCAGGTACTGAAGGTCGCCGACGTCCTCGTGCCAGGTGTGTAAAAGGATGGAAAGGACATGAGAGATTAGAGGGCAAGGAGGAGGGGGAGGAGGGGACGAAAGAATAGGAGCATGAAGACGAGGGGAAAAGAGGCGGGATTGGGATGATGAGGAAGAAAGAAGGAGAAATATGAGGGAGAGAGAGGGAATGGAGACGTATGGAGGGAGAGAAGGGAGGGCGAGGTATGGGGAAGGGAAGGAAGGGCGAGGTAAAGGAGTGAGGGAAGGAAGGGGAGGTATAGGGGGAAAGGAAGAAGGGCGAGGTAAGGAGGGAGGGAAGGGAGGGCGAGGTATAGGGGGAAGGGAAGGAAGGGCGAGGTATAGAAGGGAGGGAAGGAAGGGCGATGTAAAGGAGGGAAGGAAGGACGGGCGACGTATAGGAGGGAGGGAAGGAAGGGCGAGGTATAGGAGGGAACAAAGGACCTGAGGGCGAGGTATAAAAGGGAGGAAAGGGTATAGGGGAAGGAAAGAAAGGCGAGGTATAGAAGGGAGGAAGGAAGGAGGAGGTATAGGGGAAGGGAAGGAAGGACGAGGTAAAGGAGGAGGAAGGGAGGGCGAGGTATAGGGGGTAACGGAAGGAAGGGCGAGAGTATAGAAGGAGGAAGGGGAGGGCGAGGTATAGGGGGAAGAGGAAGAAGGGCGAGGCATAAAGGGAGGGAAGGAGGAAGGAGGTATAGGAGGGGAGGGAAGGAAAGAGGAATAGAAGGGAGGGAAGGAGGGTAAGGTGATAGGGGGAAGGGAAGTAAGGACGAGGTATAGAGGGAGGAAGGAAGGGCGAGGTATAGGAGGAAGAGAAGGAAGGGCGAGGTATAGAAGGGAGGAAGGAGGAAGGAGGTATAAAGAGGGGAGGAAGGAAGGGTGAGGTATAGAAGGGAGGAAGGGAGGGCGAGGTTATAGGGGAAGGGAAGTAAGGGCGAGGTATAGAAGGAGGGAAGGAAGGAGGAGGTATAGGAGGAAGGAAGGAAGGGCGAGGTATAGAAGGAGGGAAGCACAGAGGAATAGAGAGGAGGGAAGCAAGGGCGACGTAAAAGAGGGAGCGAAGGAAGGCAGGTATAGGAGGGGGATGGAAGGAAGGAAGGAGGAATAGGAGGAGGGAAGGAAGTGCATGAAGAGAGGAAGGAAGGGCGATGAGGCAAGGAGGGGAAGGAAGGAAGGAAGACAGGAGGGAGGGGAAGAAGGGTGAGGTATAGGGAGGGAACGAAGGAAGGGAGAAGGAGGTATAGGAGGGAGGGAAGGAAGACGAGGCATAGAAGTGAAGGAAGGAAGGGTGGTATGAAGGGAGGGCAGGAAGGAAGGAGGAAGGAGGGGGAGGGAAGGAAGGGCGAGGTATAGGGAGGGAGGGAAGGAAGGACAGGTGAGAGGAAGAGAGGGAGGGAGGAAGGGCTAGGTATAGGGAGGGAGGGAAGGAAGGGCGAGGTACAGAGGGGAGGGAAGGGGAGGAGGAGGTAAGAAGGGAGGGAGGGAGGGAAGGCGAGGTAAAGGAGGGAGGAAGGAAGGGCGAGTATAGAGGGAGGAAGGAAGGGAAGGAGGTATAGGAGGAGGAAGGAAGGGCGAGAGTGGAGGGGGGGAATAAGGGTGGAAGGGAAGGGAGGAAGGAAGGGTGAGGGGTGAAGGAGGAGGGAAGGAAGGGCGAAGATAGGGGGAGGAAGGAAGGGCGAGGTAAAAGGAGGGGGAGGGAAGGAGGGAGGTAGAAGGAGGAAGGAAGGAGGAATGAGAGGGAGGGAAGTGAAAGATGAATGGGAGGAAGGAAGGAAAGAGAGGTATAGGAGGGGGGGGAAGGAAGGGTGAGGTATGAAGGGAGGAAGGAAGGTGAGGTGAAGGAGGGAGGGAAGGAAGGGCGAAGTAAAGGGGGGGAGGAAGGAAGGAAGGCGAGGTAGGAGGAACGAAGGAAGGGAGGGCGAGGCAGGAGGGAGGGAAGGAAGGGCGAGGTATAGAAGTGAGGAAGAAAGGGAGGAATAGGAGGGAGGAAGGAAAGGAGGCAAAGGAGGGGGGGAAGGAAGGGTGAGTAGGGGAGGGAGGGAAGGAAGGGCGAGGTATAGGAGGACGGAAGGAAGGGCGAGGTATAGGGAGGAGGGAAGGAAGGAAGGAGGTATAGGAGGGGGGGGAAGGGCCAGGAGGTATAGAAGGAGAGAAGGAAGGGAAAGGGAGGTATAGGAGGGAGGAAGGAAGGAAGGAGGTAAAGGAGGGAGGGAAGGGAAGGAGAGGTATAGAGGGAGGGAAGGAAGGAAGGAAGTATAGGAGGGAGGGAAGGAAGGGCGAGGTATAGGGAGGGAGGAAGGAAGGGCGAGGGGACAGGAGGGAGGGAAGGAAGGGCGAAGTATAGAGGGAGGGAAGGAAGGGCGAGGATAGAGGGGAGGGAAGGAAGGGAAGGGAAGCAGAGGGGGGGGAAGGAAGGCAGGAGGTATGGAAGGAGAGAAGGAAGGGAGGCGAGGTATAGAGGGAGGGAAGAAGGAAGGAGGTAAAGGAGGGAGGAAGGAAGGGCGAGGTAGAGGGGGGGGGAAGGAAGGGCGAGGTAATGGAAGGGAGAGAAGGAAGGGAGGGCGAGGTATAGGAGGATGGAAGGAAAGGCGAGGTAGAGGAGGAGGAAGGAAGGAAGCGAATAGGAGGAGGGAAGGAAGGGAGGTAAAGGAGGAACGAAGGAAGGAGGGCGAGGTGGAGGGAGGGAAGGTAGGGTGAGGTAAAAAAGGGAGGGAAGGAAGGGCGAGGTATAGGGAGGGGGGGGAAGGAAGGGTAAGGTAAGTGAAGGGAGAGTAGCAAGGAGGAGGTAAAGGAGGAAACGAAGGAAGGAGGCGAGGATAGGAGGGAGGGAAGGTAGGGGTGAGGAAAGGAGGAGGGAAGGAAGGGCGAGGTAGAGGAGGGGAGGAAGGAAGGGGAGGTATGGAAGGGAGAGTAAGGAAGGGCGAGGTAAAGGAGGAACGAAGGAAGGGAGGGGCGAGGTATAGGAGGGAGGGAAGGGGTGAGGTAAAGGAGGAGGGAAGGAAGGGCGAGGTATAGGAGGGGGAAGGAAGGTGAGGTATGGAAGGAGAGAAGGAAGGGCGAGGTAAAGGAGGGGGGGAAGGAAGAGCAAGTATAGGAGGGAGGGAACGAAGGGCGAGGTATAGGAAGGAGGGAAGGAAGGAGGTATAGGAGGGAGGGAAGGAAGCGCATGGAGGAATAGGATGGGGAAGGAAGGGCGAGGAAGGAGGGAGGGAAGGAAGGTCGAGGTATAGGGGGAAGGAAGGAAGTGAGGTGAAGGAGGGAGGAAGGAAGGAAGGAGTAGTAAAGGGCAGGGAAGGAAGGGCGAGGTAGGAGGGAGGGAAGGAAGGAAGGAGGTATAGAAGGGGGAAGGAAGGCGATGAATAGGAGGAAGGAAGGGAAGGAAGGAGATATAGGAGGGAGGGGAAGGAAGGGCGAGGTATAGAAGGGAGGGACGGAAAGGGCCTACAGCAGGGAGGAAGGGAAGGAAGGAAGGAGGAAGGAGGGAGGGAAGGAAGGGCGAAGTATAGGGGAGGGAAGGAAGGGCGAGGCTAAAGGAGGAGGAAGGAAGGGCGAGGTATAGAAGGGAGGACGGAAGGGCCATAAATAGGAGGAAGGGAAGGAAGGGCGAGGAAGGAGGAGGAAGGAAGGGCGAAGTACAGGGGAGGAAGGAAGGAAGGAGGTTTAGAGAAACGAGGGAAGGAGGGCGAGGTAGGAGGGAGGGAAGGAAGGAGGGCGAGGTATAGGAGGGAGGGAAGGAAGGCTAGGTACAGAAGGAGGGAAGAAAGGAGAGAATAGAGGGAGGGAAGGAAGGGCGAGGTATAGGAGGGGGGAAGGAAGGGTGGTAAGGAAGGGAGGAAGGAAGGCGAGGTAAAGGAGGGAGGGAAGGAAGGGCGAGGTATAGGGAGGAAGGAAGGAAGGGCAGGTAAGGAGGGACGGAAGGAAGGGCATAGGGAGGGAGGGGAGGAGGGAAGGGCGAGCTAGAGGAGGGAGAGAAGGGAGGGCGAGACAGGGGAAGGGAAGGATGGGCGAGGTAAAGGAGGAGGAAGGAACGACGAAGTATAGGAGGGAGGAAGGAAGGAAGGAGAGAAGGAGGAAGAGGGCGAAGTATAGGAGGGAGGGAAGGAAGGGCGAGGTACAGAAGGGAGGGAAGGAAGGGCGAGGTATGAGGGGGAAGGAAGGTGAGGTATGGAAGGGAGGGAAGGAAGGCGAGGTAATGAGGGAGGGAAGGAAGGGCCAGGTATAGGAGGGAGGGAAGGAAGGTCGAGGTATAGAAGGAGGGAGGGGAGGGAAAGGCGAGGTATAGGAGGGAGGGAAGGAAGGGCGAGGTATAGGAGGGAGGAAGGAAGGTGAGGCGGAAGGGAGGAAGGAAGGGCGAGGTAATTGAGGGAGGGAAGGAAGGACGAGGTAGGAGGGAGGGAAGGAAGGAGGATAGAAGGAGGGAAGAAAGGGGAGGTATAGGAGGGAGGAAGGAAGGGCGAAGCATAGGAGGGAGGAAGAAAGGGCGAAGTAAAGGAGGGAGGGAAATGAAGGAGGTATAGAAGGGAGGGAAGGAAGGGCGAGGTATAGGAGGGAGGGAAGGAAGGGAGAGGTAAAGAAAGGAGGGAAGGAAGGGCGAGGTAGGAGGGAGGAAGGAAGGGGAGGTATAGGAGGGGGAAGGAAGGTGAGGTATGAAGGAGGGAAGGAAGGCGAGGTAATATGAGGGAGGGAAGGAAGGGCGAGGTATAGAGGAGGGAAGGAAGGGCGAGGTATAGAAGGAAGGAGGGAGGGAAAGGCGAGGTATAGGAGGAGGGAAGGAAGGGCGAGGTATAGGAGGGAGGGAAGGAAGGGCGAGGTATAGGAGGGAGGGAAGGAAGGGCGAGGTATATAGGAGGGGAGGAAGGAAGGGCGAGGTATAGAAGGGAGGGAAGGAAGGCGAAGCAAGGAGGGAGGAAGAAAGGGGTGAAGTAAAGGAGGGAGGGAAGGGCGAGGTATAGAAGGGAGGGAAGGAAGGGCGAGGTATAGGAGGAGGACTGAAGGGCGATGAATAGGAGAGGAAGG